ATGATGGCTCACGCCTGTAATCCTAGCCCTCTGGGAGGCTAAGATAGGAGTTAGAAACCAGTAGAGACAAGACTCTGTCTCTACTAAAGATAGACAACTTAGCCTAGCATTGTGGCAGGCACCTGTCATCCCAGATACTCAGGAGGCTGAGGCAGGAGGATCACTTAAAAACCAGGAATTTGACGTTGCTGTGAGGTAAGCTGACACCATGGCACTCTAGCCAGGGCCAGAGTGAGACTCTGTCTCAGAAAAAAGAAAAGGTACAGTAAAAATATGGTATAAAAGATAAACGATGGTGCACCTGTATAGGTTCTTACCATGAATGGAGCTTGCAGGAGCTTGCAAGTTGTTCTGGCTGAGTCAGGGAGTGAGTGGTGAGTAAGTGTGAAGGCCTGGACGTTACTGTACACCACCGTAGGCTTTAAAAACACTGCACATAGGCTGCACTAAATTTACTTAAAAAATTTTTTGTTCATTAATAACTCAATTTTAACTTACTATAAATTTTCTACTTTATGAATTTTTTACCTTCTTAAAATTTTGGACTCTTGTAATAACACTTAGACATACTGTATGGATGTACAAAAACACTTTCTTTATATCTTTATGAGCTTTCTTCTATTTAAAAAATTTTTTAAACTTTTTTAAAAATTGTAATTGGCTTTATTCATTTGCGTTAACCTCTAAATTACTCAAGTCCCATAGCTCAAAAAAAAATATATAGATTATCTTCTCTCTATTGTTGCAATTTTAGTATATGTGCAGCCGAAGCAAGTACTAAAGTTCCTTTTTTTGTTGTTTTTTTGGTTTTTGCTTTTTTAGGCAGAGCCACAAGCTGTCACCCTGGGTAGAGTGCCATGGCATCACGGCTCACAGCAACCTCCAACTCCTGGGCTTAAGCGATTCTCCTGCCTCTGCCCGCAAGTAGCTGGGACTACAGGCACCTGCCACAATGCCCAGCTATTTTTTGGTTGCAGCCATCATTATTGTTTGGTGAGCCTGGGCTGGATTCAAACCCACCAGCTCAGGTGGCTGGCGCCTTAGACACTTGAGCCATAGGCGCCAAGCCTAAGATTTTTTTTTTTAACATTTTTGTTAAAAAGTAAGACACAAACACTGTCAATATCACTGTCTTCTACACCCACTTCTTGTCCCACGGCAAGGTCTTCATAGGCAGTAACACATGAATTATCCATGGGGTATCTCCTAAAGAACCTGCCTAAGGCTGGTTTACAGTGATTTTTTTTTTAATAATTAAGAGAAGATGTGCTAAAATAATGATAAAACGTGTAGTAAATACATAACCCAGTATCATAGTCATGTGTTATCATGTATTATGTACCATCCATAATTGTATGTGCTAGACTTTCACGTGACTGGCAGCACAGTAGGCTCATTACACCAGCATCACCACAAGCATCTGAGTAACGCTTTGCACTACACGGTTAAGACATCCCTAGGTCACAGGAATCAGCTCCATTATAATCTTATGGGATCACCCTGTGTATGCAGTCATTATGGGACACATGGTGGTCGTTGCATAAAAATGGGGCATCCCCAGGGCTCCCTGCTCAGTCCTTTCCTCTATACCAAGAGCTACCCTCATTCTGAGCACCACCACCTGGCTAGCAAACACACACAGCGTGAGGACAGGGACCACACGACATTGCTGTCTGTATCCCCTGTGGCCTGGATAGTGCTGACTCACAGCAGGAGCTCCATACTTTCACTAATGCCTGGCCCAAGTTCCCGTAATGTTTACGCCCCTAACATGTAGTTGCTTGCTTCCACTAGAGGATGCTATAAGTGGATTTAGGAGAGTGGAAGCACAAAAAATGTGGAGAATCTTGTTTCTTCCACATGAAGAAACAACAGCATGATAAAGCAACACAGCAATACTGTTCATCCCTTTGCCTTACTGTTAGCGGGATAATATTCTAAGGCCATTCTCTCATCTTTGCTTGTACTTAACTGATGAATATCCACATCCTTTGGTAGCAAAACAATATGTAAAATAGAGAGTAGTAAGTAGATGTGAACATTTTAAAATAATGATTGTGAAGTATATTCTAAAATACCCCCAAAGTCATTCGTGAATCACTTATCTTGGGGACAGGTGGGTGTTGAGAATGGGGTTTGGTGCTAATTCCAGAGTTTTTATTTAAAACTCCTTGGTGGCTGGGTGCCCAAGCTCAATGGTTAGAGTGCCAGCCCTGTGCCCTGGGGGTGGTGGATTCGAATCTAGTCAGGATTCAAACCAAAAAAGAAGCTCATTGGTAATAATGGAGCTATCAAATACTTTAGAAAATTGAACCCTGTGTTCACTCTCTCACTGAAATTGAAATAAACCCCAGTTTTGTTCTATTTTATATTAGCCATACATCCACATGGCATTTTCTTCCATCATAGTTTCAGCCACTTTCTGGGGCCTTTTCTTTGCCATCCTGGCTGTAGGTAAGATGACCTAAACAAAATTCGAGACGGGCTGCCGCAATGGATGGAATCAATCTCCCTTCGTCTCTGACTTTCTCATTTTCCATCTCCAGAGGAAATGGCCACTGAGAACGCCATTACCCCGGGGGAGGAGAGCTTTGATTTATTAACACGTTTCCTAGGAAATAACCGTTTTCTCCTCTTTGGTCCTGCTTGTTTGTCCTTTGTCATGTGCTTTTTACTTATTCTGGACTGTACCCTGTTTGTTGGTCATAACACTCCACCAAGAAATCAAGCCCACCTGAGCTCTATTACAGCTCTCTGTGTTGTGGTTAGGCCTTAAAAGGTTTTATCTAAGCACATGCGATTATCTTTTTGGTTTTTTGAGACACAGTCTCACTATGTCGCCCTCGGTAGAGTGCCATGGCATCACGGCTCACAGCAACCTCAAACTCTTGGGCTCAAAATTGTCTTGACTCAGCCTCCCGAGTAGCTTGGGTCTATAGGCACCTCCCACAGCACCCAGCTATTTTTAGAGACAAGGTCTCACTCTGGCTCAGGTTAGTCTCGAACCTGTGAGCTCACGCAATCCACCCACCTTGGCCTCCCAGAGTGCCAAGGCGTGAGCACTGCATCTGGCAAAGTATTTTATCTTCATACAAAACATAGCTTCCTTAAGTAACAGTGAATTATACATGTGTCTCTCGGAGCACTGTTCTGAAATCATTTCTTTGTACAGAAGATCAAGATTCTTCTGGCCTTTCATCTGCTATATATGGCGGCTGCATTAGCATATTCCATAAAACTGCCTCTGCCTCTTCTGCCCTGTTTCCATTAAGAATGTTTCATTACCAGAGAATCTAGAAGTGTTTCTATCTGAGAAATAAATACATGTTGGCTCTGAATCATGTCAGTCAAATCTAACCATTATAATGGACACAGTCATATGGGCAAAGAGGACCTGTATTAGTTTTCTAGTTGTTGTCGTAACTAATTACTTCAAATTTAGGGGCTTAAAAACAATCTAACGTCTTTTTCTTTTTCTTTTTTCAAGACAGAGTCTCACTCTGTCACCATGGATAGAGTGCCATAGCATCATAGCTCACAGCAACCTTAAACTCTTGGGCTTGAGCAATCCTCTTGTCTCAGCCTCCCAAGTATCTGGAGTGCCCAGCTAGTTTTCCTGTTTTTAGTAGAGATTGGGTGTCGTTCTTGCTCAGGTTGGCCTTAAATTCCTGAGCTCAAGCAGTCCACCCTCCTTGGCCTCCCAAAGTGTTAGGATTATGGGAGTGAGTCGCCACACCTGCCTCTAATGCCTTCTTCTGAGATCAGAAGTTCAAAATCTGTCTCACTGGGCTAGAGTGGGGCTGGTCCCTTCTGGCTAGCTCTTCCCTCTTCTTCTGTGAGAAGAACCTTTTCCTTCTGTCTTCTCATCTCTTACTCTGATCTCCTGCTTCCCTCTTTTAAGGATGCTGGCAGTTACATTAGGGCCTCCCACCCCAGATGATACAGGATAATCTCCCCATTTCAAGATCTTTAGTTCAATCACACATGCACTGTCCTTTTGGTATATAAAGTGACATTGACAGGTTCAGAGACATCTTTGGAGATCATTATTTAGCTGACCACAAGACCTTACCTTCTCTATGCAATGACAATTTTCTGTGGCCTTTCCTGTTGGGCTGGCTTGGTGAGAGAGAGTAGTCTGTGGTGGGCTTGCTGATGCCTTTCAAAGACCCCACGCCCATCTTCCTGCCTGCAGCACCTGGTGGCAGCTGCCAGATCTCAGATGCCTCTGCAGCGCCGTCGGGAATATCACTGTGGTGTCCAAGGGCTGCGCCACTGTGTCCAAGATGTTTGTGTAACAGACCAGACATATAGCTCATGGGAAGGAGAAGCGAGAGTTACAAGAAACACCCATAACATCTTGGCAGTGTAACGCCTTGGTGATAAGGCCACGGGGAAGGGATTCAGTTCTCCTTGACACGAGAGCACGCGAGACGAGAACGTCAGTGATTGGCAGTCTCTACACCTGTGGTGCAAGTAGCCACGGATCACGTCTATAAGTAGCCGCAGAAGGCAATTAGGGAGCGTGCATTGCATGCTATTGTTTCACGGACTCGCTCACTCTGACTCTTTCACTTCTGCTTGCAGAGGCCCTTCTAAGAAGACTGCTAGGATTCACACACTCTCTCTCTCTTTTGTTTTGCAGTTTTGGCTAGAGCCACGCTTGAACATGCCACCCACAGTATATGGGGCTGGCACCCTACTCCTTGAGCCATAGGTGCTACCCTAAGATTCACTCTCTTACTAAAACTGTTTCTCTCCCTCTAAGACTATGTTTCTCTCTCTCTCTCCCTTCTGCTAAGGCGAATAGCCCTCAGGCACCTAAGAGCAATTGATCCCAAGCAAGATGGCACAGCAGTCCCATCCAGACAATGGATAACCCGGGGCTGGAGACACGTTTGCCACTCACACTTGCCTAACTCTGTCTTCTTTCCTTTCCAGCATTGTGTTAGTGCCGGGAGGCCACTGTGTCAGCAAGCTGAAAGGGAAATTGAGGCAAGATGTCAGGCCGGACCGGGAAGAAGAAAATGTCCAAGCTGTCACGTTCAGCCAGGGCTGGTGTCATCTTCCCAGTGGGGAGGTTGATGCGTTACCTGAAGAAAGGGACATTCAAGTACAGGATCAGTGTGGGAGCCCCTGTCTACATGGCAGCTGTCATCGAGTATCTGGCAGGTAATGAAACAGGCAGAGATCACCCTCTCCCAGATCCCTCCCCTCCCCTGGGTCCCTCTCACAGGCTGGGCAGGGATGCTCTGCGTCCTCCTGTGGCTGGGTCAAGGCTACTGTGGGTGATGACAGGGTTGCCAAGGGTAAGATTGACTTCTGCAGGGTTTAGGGGAAGAGAAGAGGGCATAGGAAGGACAGGTGATCGGCATGGGAGGTAGAGAACCCACAATCAAGTGGCTGTTCTAAACCAACCCTGAAAAAGCAACATGCAAATATCTAGGCTGCCGAAGAAGAGAAACGGCAGAAAGAATGGTAGAGTTGATACTCATTTTGTAAAAGGCATGTTCACCTTACATCAAATTCCCCATTAAACATCGGTTTTCCGGGTATATTTAAACTAGGACTCAATACCCCGAGCCCAGGAGTTTGAAGTTGCTGTAAGCTATGACGCCATAGCACTCTACCCAGAGTGACAAAGTAAGGCTCTGTCTCAAAAAAAGGAGAATTTTGTTGTATGTTCTTTATCTATTTGAGTAACTTCCTGGTTAGCTTTTTTGCTGTGTTCTTTTACACTATCGGGGATGCTATTCTAGAAATATGTATGTAAATAAAATAGATAAAAATATATATAAATAACTTAGGCTCATTTTAACCATGACCAACAACGTCTCTAACTTTACCCACAGCTAGCAAATTCCAGACTTCCCTGATACAAACATTAAGTCCCTTGAGACGTATGCAGGGTGAAAAACCTCCCCAAACTGCCTGTCCCCATGAAGCTGAGCCCCTCAGGGGGGAAACCCCTAGGGATGTGGCCGGGCTGTCCCTGGTTCTGTCCCCAGGCTCTTTGTCCCTCCTGGTTTTCCCTCAACAGCAATCTTTCCCCCTCTTTTGATGGAGCCCAAGACTTTGAGGTTGCCGTGAGGTATGATACCACGGCACTCTACAAAGGTGACTCTGCCTCAAAAAATAAAATAAAACAGCGTGTTAGGTCCATGGCAAAGGATGCTATTGCTAAGTATGCACCTGCCCTGGGGCAGGTCTCCATGTCAGCACCGTCCAGGTCACAGGGAGGAAGAAGTAAAGTCTGTCTTCTGAATCCCAGGCCTGTCTTCCGAATCCCAGGCCTGTCTTCCCACGTCCCATCCTTTCGTCTCCTCCTTGTGTCTTTTCTCCCCTCCACACACAGGCTAGAGTTGAGAGAGCAGAGGCTTAACTATCAGTTCATGTCTAGACTTAGCAATTTACTGGATCTGTTGCCTGAACCTCTCTGAGCTGGGGCTGTCTGCAGAGCTAGCTCCTTTAACCTGACTCAGCGGCCTAGTGTAGGTCAAATGCCTGGGGCCTGGTGCACTCAACAAACAGTTCTCATCTCCCCTCCGTTGAGAGCGGATAAGATCATTCAAGACAAACTATAAATGACTAATTCTATTAAGGCAGTGTATTTTCAGGCTGAATTTGCATTTTAATGAGAAAAGGAGTTTTAATTCAAAGGAATGAATCACATTAATGGAATTATAGGACACTGTTGAGTAAGTAAAACGGGGGCAGTTAATTTATGTTTGTTTAGGGAAGGGGCATCAATTAATTCTGTTTAGGGAAGCAGGTTCACCATGCAGAAGCCTCCTGTCACCCTTGAAATGACTTTCACAGATGTGAGACAATCTTGACTACATGCCTCATTTGGATCAGGACTGTAAGGTTCTGCCTTTGCTGGGCTTACCGCCTAGCAGAGAGGACTAGCATTGAACCCATCACAAGATGGGCGGGGAAGCTGGGGGAAGTTTGGGAACCGCAGATGCAGAGAGGGGCTTGCCTGATAGAAAGCGAGAGTGTTAGACCTAATCCAGGTTCCCGGCCCTTTTTCACAGGTCAACTGATATCAGATCCAAATGCCCGGGTTCCAGTCCAGAGAGTCTAGGATATTTTCTGGGCTCAGGAGTCTTAAAACCTTTCCCAAATGATTCTGATGGACGGCCAGTAGGGAATTAGTGAGAGTTAGCTCAAGTCAGATGTGGGAGGGGGTTGGACTAGGGGAAGGTAGTCAGAGAGGTGGGGATTTAACAGGAAAGACCAAGTTTGGAGGAAGTGCATGGCCCTCTCACAAACTGGAGGAAGTTCCATGCGTCTGGAAGGGATGAGATGGGGGCCAGTCAGCAGGGTCTAGACTGTGACGGTCACTGAAAGCCACATTGAGGATGTACACGTTTCTCTCTCTCACTCACTTACACTCGTGCACATGCACACAGCAGGGGAATCCTTGAAGGGAAGACGTGGCATTTGTGCCATTGGTCTGGCTTTAGGTGGGGAACAGGTGGGGAGCAGTGAGGGCTGTTTTAATGTCGCTTCTGAGAACTGACAGTGGCCAGGACACCAGAGGCATGCAGTGGGATGGGGAGAAGTGGGAGCATCCTGGAGGGTAGAGCAGCTCTGCCCCATTACGGGTTGGATCGGTGGGGAAGGGCACCAAGGATGACACAGAGCCTAGAGGGCTACACTAGCCGCTTTCCTTCAGGCCCTGCCACCATGGATTTAGGTGTGAAGATGTAGATTTGGACACAAGGAGCAGGGATGGGCATAAGGAGTTTGGCCCAGAGGAAGGAGAGAGGGGAAAGCAGCTGGTGGATGGAGAATGGTGCCCATTGCTGAAGTGTGGACAGTAGGCAGGAGACTGGCTGCAAGAGGAGGGCCTCAGCTCGGATCTGTTGCTGCAGCTGGTAAGATGTCCAAGAGAGCAGAGTAGGTAGGAGCCCTGGCTTCAGCCAGGCCTGAGCCTACATTCTGGCTCTGCCACTCACCTGCTATGAACCTTGCTATGAGCAACCTCATTTTGTTGCTCACGTGTAGCTGTGAGGATTACATAAAATGATGCATGCAGAGTGCTGGGCATTGCTCACCACTTGCTAGCATCTCTGTACATCCAGCTAGATGTGTGTGGAGCCTAGGAGGAAGATGTGGATAGAGGTTCACATGCTGGTGGTAAGGCCCAGCCTGAGCGACACCTTATATGCCCAGGTTTGTGGGCCAAGAAGGAGGGAAGCGATGGCTAAGGAGGTTAAGAAGGAAAAGCAAGAGCCTGCAACGCCCCCGGAAACCCAGGGAAGGGAGTGGGAAGCGGTAACCCCTACAGGGTCATACTGACTAAAGCCAGGCAAGGACAATACAACCAGCCACCTCAAGGGCATGGTGACCTTGGCAAGGATGATGTGGTTGAGGAGTGGGAGGTGTGGAGCTCTTCACAGTCACAGTGGAGTTACAGCCTCCACTGGATCCTATTATTTAATGTGTTAATAAAGCACGAAGACTCGTATACTCTAGAGATCCTTACTATTTTGAAAACTTGATTTCAGTGTACTTGGTTTTCTTTGTCATCCTATGTATTTCATATTGTATACTTGAAGTCTTACCCTGATGTCTATTAGGATGGCTATTATCAAAAAATAATAAAAATAATAACAAGTCTTGGCAACCTCTGGAGAAACCGGAACCCTTGTACATTGCTGTTGGGGATGTAAAATGGTGCCGGGCTGTGGGTAACAGCTCAGCAATTCCTCAAATTGAAATATAAAGTTACAGGCCAGGCGCGGTGGCTCACACCTTTAACCCTAGCACTTTGGGAGGCCACAGTGGGCAGATCGCCTGAGCTCACGAGTCCAGACCAGCCTGAGCTAGAATAAGACCCTGTCTCTAAAAATAGCTGGGTGTTGTGGTGGGCACCTATAGTCCTAGCTACTCCAGAGTCCAAGAGTTAGAAGTTGCTGTGGGCTATGACACTACGGCACTCTACCAGGGGCGACAAAGTGAGACTCTGTCTTAAAGTCTCAAAAATAAATAAATACATAAATATAAAGTTGCCATGTGATCCAGCAATTCCACTCCTCAGTATAGACCCAAAAGAAGTGAAAGCAGAGGCTCAGAGCCTGTAGCTCAGTGGTCAGGGCACTGGTCGCATATACTGAGGTTGGTGGTTTTGAACCCTGCCTGGGCCTGCTAAACAACAATGACAACAACAGAAAAATAGCCAGATGTTGTGGTGGGGACCTGTAGTCCCAGCTACTTGGGAGGCTGAGGCAAGAGAATCACTTAAGCCAAAGAGTTTAAGGTTGCTATGAGCTGTGACACCACAGCACTCTATTGAGGGCGACATAATAAGACTCTGTCTCAAAAAAAAAAAAAGTGAAAGCAGAAACTCAAACAGATATGTCCGAATTGATGATCACAGCAGCATTATTCATGGTGTCCAAAAGCTAGAACCACCCAAGTGTTCATCGTCAGATGGATGGATAAACAAAATGTGGGCCTCAACATGTGTATGTATTTGGGTATATATGATGGACTATTATTCAGCCATAATATTTCAAAAAAGCATGAAATTCTGAGACATACTACAACATGGATAAACCTTGAAAATAGCTAATGAAAGATGGCAGACACAACAGGACAATATTGTGTGATTCCATTTATATGCGGTCCCTAGAATAGGCAAATTCAGAGATGGAAAGCAGAATGGAGTTTACCCCTCCATAAGCAGCTGGGAGAGTGGGCGTTACTGTTTAATGGGTGCAGAGTTCCATTGGGGATGATGAAAGCTCTGGGAATGGATAATGGTGACGATTGCAAATGTACTAGATACAACTGAATTGTATCCTTAAAAGTGGTTAAAATGGTAAAGTTTATGTTATGTATATTTTACCACAATTTTTTTTTAAATAGCCAGGCATGGTAGCTTACACTTGTAATCCTAGCACTCTGGGAGGCTGAGGCAGGTGAATTGCTTTATATGCACCCGGCCTGTAACTTTATATTTCAATTTGAGGAATTGCTGAGCTGTTATCCAGTTCACGAGTTTGAGACCAGACTGAGCAGATGCAAGACCCCATCTCTACTAAAAATAGAAAAACAAGAGGATCACTTGAGCCCAAGAGTTGGAGGTTGCTGTGAGTTATAATGCCACAGCACTCTACCCAGGGCAACAGCTTGAGACTCTGTCTGAAAAAAAAAGAAAA